CGTATTCATCGCGGCTTAAGGGTGCGTGCTGTGTATTTAATGTTATGTCGTCTGTCTAACGCCGCCGTTAGCTGAGCGTGATGCGCTGAAGGATCTGCCGAATGTGTATAGCTACCGCGCGTTTATGGAGACGGATAAAGCTGGGTACATTGTTAGGCAATGGTTGGAGGGGAACCTTTACGATCGTATTAGGTGCTGTCCTATTCGATCTACATTCTCTCCTAGCTAACTTGGCATAACAGCACACGGCCATTTTTGAGTCCAATCGAGAAGAAATGGATCGCGTTCCAGCTGATTAATGGCATGCGAGGCGCACGAAAGCACAACGTATGTTCTATGGTCTCCTAGCTCAGACCGTTATTTACCATTAACCCAGATTTCCCATGGAGATATCAAGTCTGAGAACATCCTCGTCACGTCTTGGAACTGGGTGTACCTCACGGATTTTGCGTCCTACAAACCGACATATCTTCCCTTGGACGACCCCGCGGATTTCTCATTCTTCTTTGACACCTCCGGTCGACGCACGTGTTATATCGCTCCAGAGCGATTCTACACGGCTGGCAGCGAAATGAGCAAACTGAAGGCGAAATTGGACTTCCATGAACGAGATGGAAAGGTCACGGAGACTATGGATGTATTCAGTCTAGGATGCGTCATCGCAGAACTCTTCCTTGAAGGCGCTGCGATGTTCACTTTATCACAACTATTCAAATATAGATCCGGAGAACTCAGCATTGAGGCTCATTTAGCCGCTATTGATGATGCTGAAATTCGCGTATGTGGTTCATATTTAAATACGTGGATCGTCTCTCTAAAAGAATATGTTACAGGCTCTAATTCTGCGAATGGTAGCCCTAGAACCTACCGAACGTCCCACATTCGACACACTACTGCACGAATATCGCGGGAACGTATTCCCCGAACACTTTTACTCCTTCCTGCACGATTATATTGGATCCATGAACGAACTTTCCACAGTCACCATCTTCAACAAGCCGTCGCCCCTTCTTCCTGTCAGTGCTGCGTCTGAGATGCCGGGTATGGCGGAAACGACGTCTCTCCCCAGCGACTCAGATCACCGGATCGAGAAAATTTGGACTGAATATGAGGCTATTGAACCGCATTTTACGGAGCAGGGAGATAATGCGGAGTTGGACGGCAGTAGGGCGACGCTGAAAGCTCCCGTTCGGAGACGATTGGCTGATATATTTCCTGTGGAGCTTTATATTCCTGAGTTGCAATCCGAACTAGAGGGAACTCGGATGGCGGGGCAGCAAGCTGCTCCTGAAGGTACGGAGAATTATCAATTACCTTAAGACATAATTTAAATTTTATCACTCTCAGATGGCATTGCATTGATTATTCTCTCCTTGGTCTGCGCGAATATCCGTAATTGTACCTTCCCTAGCTCTAAAGTTCGGGCTCTGGACGTCTTGCTCGCTCTTTCCACGCGTTTAACTGATGAGGCGAAATTGGATCGCCTTGTCCCGTATGTGATGGATCTCATTCACGACGAAGCAGCCATCGTACGAGCCGCCGCTTTAAGGACTTTAGTTCAAGTGGTGAGTGTTTCTTTAATTCCTTATCGTGCGTTATTTATTTGTTAATGGTACGCGACAGCTCATGCTCGTCAAAGCCATCACACCGGCGAACGCCTCGAT